TATACTCTTATGTGGTTCCTACTCATTAGCATATTCAAATGTGGTTATTTGCATATTCTAACATACTCCAATGCAATTTTTTTTACACTAGCATATTAAAATATTCAAATGACCGTCTACATCAATAAAGTTTTCCCATGTATTTTTTCTAACATTACAGAACTGACAATGCAGAACCTGTGATTATCAGTTGTGCTGGTTGCTATGGAGACAATGGGGATATTATTCAATGGAAGTATGACAAGGAAAGGGTGAGAATGCTTTATTATTCATTATTAGATAATAGTGTAATGGTGTGTTTTCATCTGAGTATCCAAAGCCGATAAATTTTTGTTTTTGTTTTTACATATTTTTTACTTAATTTTGTTTCTGTTTTTGTCAGTACTATTTGTTTAAAAAAATATATTAAATAAAACAGTATTAGCTTACAAAGCATAGCAAAAAAGCATTTGTGGGGTTCTGCATCACATGGTATTTTTGCTAAATTACATCATAATTATCCGCCATTTTGTTATCCAAGTGAATATCACCTTTAGAATGGAATATAAAAATGTAAAAAACACTACAAATGCTTCATATTTTGCTTTGTGAAATAAAGTTCCATCAAATAAAGGAGAAAGCAAAAAAAAATTGGGGTTACCTGAACATGTCACCATGGAAACAATGACTTTGGTGGCCATTTTGAATTAGAATAAGGGAATGTTTGCGGCCATTTTGGAATGGGAAAATGGCAAAATGTATGCAATTTCAGATCATATTTAAAAAACTGTTTCAGGTACCTCAAGTATTTTCTTTAGAATTTAAAATTGACAAAAATCTTTTATCAAAATTTCAAGAAAACTTCAGTCTCAAAAGTTTATTTTACATGGCCACTCACAAATTGTCATAGAACAGTATGATATATGAACAGATGCTTCATTTTTTTTCAGGCTCGCTGGTACAACATTGGTATCTGAATACTACAGAAAATATTCTGGGTTGTTTGCTTCAGACCTTTTTGCACAAATCATGTTGAAATAATCTAACTTAAAACAAAAAATTATAGAGAGAATATAGTCTCATGGTTGGAAATAATCTTACAGTGCTTGGGTTAACTTTTTCACCACCAGTCTCCTCTTTTCATCACAAATTAACAAAGTAGTCTTGTTTATAGTCTTCACTTTCTATCAGAAGATTGGAACAAATATAGCCAAATTTTTTTTAGTAAAAACTAAAAATTGACTCAAATTTCATTTGTTGGCTCCAAAATTAGAGTTCATTTCAAGAAATATTGAAGAATATAAGAAAAAACTGCAGACAAATTTAGGTGAGAAAGTCTGGTGGTGAAAAGGTTAATGGTGAGCCAGAGTGTAAAAACAAAATGTGTATTTTCCGGTCAAATTACCTTTTATTGTCTCAGTAAATTTGCTGTACGATATTTTTAATTATTTTATCAGACATTAACAAGACATGTAAATTTCTTTCAGAATTATGATTCAAAAAGTTAATATGTATTTTTTGCAGTTAGGTAAAGAAATATTTCATTTTATTTTATTGATCTATGGACAAGTTTTTTAAATATTGCATTTTTGTTTCCAAATTTGGTGAAATAATTTAGTGCAATACAACATTTTAATGTTGAAAAATCTTGCTCAATTCAATATTTGGA